TATATATATATATATATATATATAGTTGGCGCTTTGTGGCCGCTGAAGCGATTTTCCGCCGAGCTTCTCGTCGAAATTGTGGTCTTGCGTCTTGATGTTTTTCCAACAAATGGAGGGACTTACAGTTAATACTAAGCCGCCTCCGAGCTTTTATTTCATGTCAGAAATACACTCGAAAGGGTTGACGTTCCCTGATGAAGGGCGACCGCAATTAGAAAATTTAACTTCATTTTTTATTTAAATTAACTTTCTATAACTTTTGTATTACGACATCTTGATTTGAACCCGGGCCCTCCCAATGGCAGTAGGAAACGCTAACCACTCGGCCACCGCGGCCACCAATCTTCACAGAACAGTTTTATTTTTATATTTCGCTAACAAATATTTATGCAAATTTTCTCTAATGATTTCGCCATGAGCTGCCAAAATCAAAAATCAATTTATTTCTGCTTGTGCCTTCATATTTTGAAAGCTTTCGTGCCTGTTATTCCATGCTTTATCAAGCACTTCAAACAGTTTTCTTATGGAAATGGTAGACCAGGAGTAGAATTTATTATTGGAAGAGAGAAGAGAGAAGGAGATGGGACGATATTCTTTTTATATTCTTCTTCCTAATTATAGATAGGCCTACCTAGGAGTCCAATTAGTCGTTCAAGAGCTAAAATGCGTGAGCTCAGCCATTCTTTTGTACGCTTCCTTACTCTTTCACCAAAAACTTGGGGAATTGTTCTATCGATTGTCCACGACTGTCAGTCACCGCTCAATTGTGGCAAAAACTAATCAAACTCAACAGAATTTCCAAATGCGGCTGTGTGTTGAAGTGTCATTATATTTCATTCCTTTTACTTTAAATATAACTTTTGTTATTTAAGACATTTTAATAGCAATGAAATGTCCAAAACAACCAATCTGCTAAAGTTTTAATAATGATAGATAGTGGTGAGTGAAAGCATTTAGACGAGCGGGCATAGTCAGTGGCAAGAACGCAAACGTATGAGTATGTGCGACTAACCATGTGCTAAAAATTTTTTGGAGTACTTACGAGTACCAACCGGTCCAATCAGTAGACTCACTACTAGAAATTAAAAAAGTGATCCTGGTGTTGTGAATAGAAAATTCGTAATTAATTAAAATTTTTACATTTCTTCTTTTCCATCATTGGCGCCAAAACTGCCTACCAGCGTGTCATTCGCTCCTTTCCTTCACTATTTGGTGCCTGTTGGAAATACCAAGTGAGCCATCCAATGGACTGAAGGTCTTCTTCTTCCACTGCTTACACTTTGCTTTTGAACAAGTGTTGTGTGCTAGTTTCTTATTTCCTTTGCCGTATACCTGGAAGACGAAAAATTGCTCTGAAAGCTTTGAAATATATTTTGGAAGGAATTTCTCGAGGTTACCTTGTTCGTCACTCTGATGATGCTTGGAATCGGATTCAATGCCATCCTAACTCATCCTATCTCATCTAAACACATTTTGTGTCAGGCGACAAGCCAAAGCAACAACAGCAACACAAAATAGGAACAAAGGGCCTAAAAAACATGAATGTGTTTTTGCTTGTGCGCGCATTTTGTTGCCTTTTATGTAAACAAACGCTATAAATACAACAAATACCATAAAATGCGACAAAAAGCCGATATTGACAACAATGGACCAAAAACAAGAACAGCAAAGGCTGCTAAATGCACATATACACATACATACATACGCGTACATACACACAATTGTGGACTTATTTGTGTGCATAAATTTTGTGAGTGGGCCAGTAGAAAGCCGATTTGGATTTTATGGTTCTGGTCTAAACTCAAAAAGCACATCAGTGGCAGGCACAAGAGTTTTCGGTTGGAGCGCGGTGACTCTTTTCAGTTTACTCTTTCCTCTTTTGGCCTTTCGCTATTTTCGTAGCTGTTTGCATTTTGGTATCTGTGGGAATTGAACTGGTCATTGTAGAAAATATACATTCGGTTGGTGAAAATTTATTTACGGAATTCAGTAAATTTTGTGTTCAGCGGGGACAATTTCATTCATTTATATTCAATGAAAGAAAGCTTTGGCATAAGGAAATACATATTTATAGGTGTAGAGAAAATTTCGAAAGTTTCAATATGAGAGGGAAATTTCCTGTACTTTCGACTTTGCTTTATATCTTCATTTTTCCAGTATATTTAGTATATAAATCTTGAGGACGACAAGCCTCGAGCAGCCCTTGGCTAAACACAGAAACGAGCTTTATATTTTATACTCTTGGCTCTTCAGTTTTCTTTCGTAAAGCATCTCACCGTCGCGCAATGGTTCCAAAAGCCAAAAACTTAGACAAAAGACGGAAAAAATTTAAATTGGGGACTTTTATTGTAATACCTGAAATAGTTATGTTGGTATGTCTACCGTTAGAAACGATCGCTTTTGAGAGTCCATTGTGCACAACTGGCCGTAGAAGCAGTTCTGGTCAAAGCGCCCGGTGCTTTACATCGAGTGTGTAGCTCAGACCCAAGGAAACGCAATCTTTAAAACTGTCGCAATTCTGGAAGTTTTAGAGAATTCAAGATTTGTGACATGGAATCGCCAGCTATATGTAAGTTAATTGAAAGTATACTGAAGACAAAAATTGAAATTTGTTGATAATTTGTTTATGGAACATCTGAAATATCGCTTTAAAGAGGTTAAATATTTCAAAAACTAAAAATTAGAAAGTGAATAACTCAAAAGCCCACTACATCGCATTCTGAATATATTTCTGTTTCTTTTCAAAAAAAAAAAGAAAGTTTGTAATGTTTTTTATTAAAATTAAAGTATCAGAATCATAATCAGCGACCTCAAGAACCGCGAGTAACGATTTTTTTAATCATTTAAGCCTGACCTTTCTTTCTTTCTGCCTTCTAAGTAGCTGCCCATCATGGGTGAAATGCTTTAAAAACGTTCAAAAATAGCAAGAAGTCCTGGCTTCATCGCTTATAAACATTTCAATCGATTTACAACGTCATCGCTCTTGAACCTATTCTCGTTCGATCTCAATGACAAATTCAAATACTGGAGTCACTCACTTCTATGGAGCATTTTTTCTTACCTACAAAGCCGAACTGCGCTCAGCCGCTTCTCATAACCGTTAACGTTTTTCATGAATCTCTTTTTATTTCGCGCACAGCGGCTAAATACGCGCACGGAAGTATTTCGCCACAAGGACATGATGGCTTTAATTCTCCAATCCTTCAGAAAAAAGTAAATAAAATGTATTAAAAAGAAATGAAAATAAATATTAAAAATCAATCACGAGCGTATTGATCTTTAATTCATGGAAGCTGCTTATAATGGTTTTGTGCTCCAGCTCCTGAGAAATTAATGACAATGCGTCTTTTTAAACCCATGCTTCCTAAGGCAGCTGAAAATCTGCGTTTTACTGCTCTCACTTGCGCATTTTACACCTGCTGTAGCTTAGTCGTTTTATTGTTGTTTTATTGAAAGTAATTCATAAAAGTTTGCACGTGCAAATACGTATTGCCCCAGTGAATGATCGAACGCCTGCTGCCGATGGTGATTCTTGCAACCGCATGTTAACAATGAATTCTCGTACACATTCACACACACATACACGTACACACAGACAGACATCGCAGCCTTCAGTTGGTAGGGAGCGAGCAATGGCTTTCACCATTGGTGTCAAGAGCATATGTGACGTCATCGTTTTTTGTTTTCCCCCTATTGGATGACACTAACGGAGTCTTGTTTGAAGTGATGACGTTTTAAATTGGAACATACTGAAGAGTTTTGCGGAAGAGAGCAAACTTGTAAATGGTGAAGAGAAATGGCTAAACATGTTTCAGTGAAGTGTGTTCTATGAAGCTCTTATTTTCTGGTGTTGCCAAATGATTAGTTTTTACGATCTCAATTCGTTTTTATTAAAACTTAATATCAGAAATTGACTAACGCGAGATAATGTGCTGACTAAAACTTTGTTTAAATTGATTCTTTCTTGTCTTGTTGGAACCAAAAGTCGTCCACATCAACATCGTCCAATTCAGCTGAGAAGAGGTCATAAATCATCGCTCCATTAACTGCATCACTACAGTTGCATGTCTATTCAGTCGAGGTATTAAAGAGTATCATTCAGGAAATTTTGCTATTTTCGTATTCTGAGCTCACGGTCACCCTGTAAATATTGTTACCAGTACTATAGGATTTAACAAACAATCAGCTGTTTGATTTTGGATTTTTAATTCGAGAAAAAATAAATAACAAAATGTATAGGTTTTCATTCAGCTTTTCTTTGTCGATTATGCATATTTTCAATTATGTTCAAATATTTATGATTTAATAAATTAATAAACAAAACATATTTATTTGGTTGCGCACCGTCCTACATTTCAATGTGAATATTCTGTTTACTTCACCAACTTTACCAAATGCTATTTGACATGGTCGAAAAAACAGTGCTGCCAAAGTTTTTTTTAAACAATGTAGCCTGCGTTAAAAAAGTAACAAAATTTACTTTACCGGTAACATTGAGAATAGGCATGAGAAAGAAAGTTCAGTATTGGATGCACAGCTTACGGATTGTTCCTACTAATCGCCTTTAGTTTCGGAAAGTTTTGGGTGCAGGGTGAGAAATCTTCAGAACGGTTCATTCTTTTAGTATTTTTATTTACTGTTTAAAGGGGAAAACCAAAGAGAATTTCGATAAATGTGGCAACTTGCCACCGTTTTAGTAGTCTCTCTTTGTCTCTATGCTTTCTCGACACAGTAATAACCAGACAGCTCGCCACCACCAAGTGAGAGCTAGCAGTGAGATGTAAAAATGCCGCAAACAACCGACAGCGGTGCGAGAGAGCTACGTTGGGGGTGCGGGTTGGATACTAATTTGGCTAGAAATGCTGTTTGATACAATGAATAAAAGCAAACGACACAGCGTGAAATGGCTCAGTTTAAGTGGAACTGCCGGCGGTAACGCGTGGAAAACGAAAGAAAAACTAGCAAAACTCAAAGTAAAACAAACATTAATTAAGCAAAAAGATATAAAACAAACTGAAGAAAAAATAAACAACAAAAATGTAAAAACGAAATAAAAGAAAATAAAATATGATAACATTGTAGTTGTTTCTGACGTATTTGAGATCAAAATAGAAACACTAACCAATTTATAGCAGCAGTCAGGAGCCAGGAGCCGTCACCTCCATCAATGCAGAAAAAGTGAAAGTAAAAAAGATAGCTGAAAATATATATGAATTTACAAGTGCCAAAACACATGTATAAGAATATTTGCCTTGCTTATAAATAAATACTTAAGAATTTAAAAATAAATTTAAATTAAGAAGAAGAACAAGCACAAGAAATGGTTCTCAGCAGCAGCGGCAGAAGTGGCTGGCAAGAGTATTAAAAAGTGGGTGACTTTTTGCTGGGCGATTATTGAATATATTTTTGTTTCTTTGTCACTCACACACACCCACCTCATGTGTATGTGTATATATTATATATGTATATGCATTTATTCATATTTACATCTGAAAAAAATGCGAATGAATTAAACAAGTGTGTAGTAAAGTAAAGTGGGAGCGACGGTGAATTATGGCGCTTTAAATGTATAAGCAAAAAAATACAGCACAAACAAACAATAACAAACAACAAGCAACAGCAAAAAGTGAGAAATAACAGTCCGAAATCAAAGGAAATAAAAAAAGTTGAAAGTGTGTAAATTTATATTTATGTATTGCATACGTATTCATATGTACATATGTATATAACAAAGGGGACGGCCGACGGCAAATAGAAAGAGTTGTCAACACTTTTACCCGCGGTGCTCCGTCGATGTGCTGAGAGTTTCTGCCTTCTGCTGATGTGATGAGGTGTGCAAATTATCCCTTCTTATTCCTGTTACGTATATACATACATATTTTTATTTTATTATTTTGATGGATGATTGGTAGCACAATGCGCAATGAGCAGTTGTTTTTGTAAAATGTGTAAATACCAATTTACGGGGAGTAATTTTTACAAGACTGTAAGGTAAAATGCTAAAGTTGGTTGAGAAACTTTGCACCGTTATAATGTACATATAAAAAGTTGGAGGTGTGGGTAAATTTGAAATTTTATTTATAGCACAATACATGAATTATAAATTGTTGTGAAATAATTTATTGCATTGAAGCGTAAAATTCCATCGAATTGTGCTAAGAAAAGTTGATGAAAGTATTTGAAAGAATTAATTTAAAATAAATCTCTCAAAGGGCACTCTGATGCGGAGTAATTCTTCGTATAATTCTGTGAGCAAAAAGTAAGGTGAATTTGTTTTTAAAAATCTTTATTTATTCTTCTACATCGATTTCGTCCTCTTCAAAATAGTCCCCTGCCGAAGCAATGCACTTATGCCACCGCTTTTTCCAATTACCGAAGCATGTGAAATAGTCAGTTTTTGATATGGCCTTCGGAGAGCGCGCCGATTACCGCTTAATCTCCTCAATCGACTCAAAACGATGTCCTCAAAGTGGTCTCCTCAGTTTTTGGATGAGCGGGAATTCACATGGTTCTTGGTCCGGCGAACACGGTGGTTGGAGAACGAAATTCGTGGAAACGGTCACGAAGAGTGAGTGCTGTGAGCATAGGCTTCGCAGAAGTTAATCCATTATTTTCTTATATAAATAACGATTTGTAACCGATGAAGTCTTGATGTTTTTCCAACAAATGAAGGGACCTACAGTTTTTAGACTGGCGATGGTTTTTTATTAGGAACTCAGATCTTTTTGTCAAAAATGCTTTCGGAAAAATTATTCCTTTTAATTTGTTTTGGTCGGACAAGATCTTGAACTCTTCTGAATGTTAGTACGCACTTTTTCGACCCTTTTTGAAAGTTACCAATTTATACTATCCTATAGTCTAAGTTACCACAATTGTGTATTGTTTTTTTCTGTAATTCATTTTTAATTTTATTTAATTGTGTCTAATCCAAATTTATTTTATTCTAAATATTTTTTATTTCTTTATCAGGAAGTAGCTTTCCACAACGGACTTTAAACTTTTGCGCGCAAAATTTATTCTAGATATGGTGCTGAGTTGGCAAATATTTGTTTATTTTGAATTTCAAATAACAAAGAAAGTGAATGTACAACAAAAACAATGCAGCATGCGAGTGAAACAAATATTTCTAATAAACTTATCAAAACAAAAATTATTTCAAATTCGCAAAAGTGCACACTTTCGTATATTCAGGTGTTCATAAGTAATCAAACGAAAATCTGAGTTAAATCAAACAACTGCTCACATAATGACGCTTGATAAATTCTAGGCAAGTATATATGTACAGATTTGCGGATTTCCAACAATATATTGGTATGTTGGTATTCATGTGTGAGAGCATTCTTCCATATCTAAACTGAAATGCTCGTAAATCTATCATTTCAATCAGTATTTTGCTCTAATCCATTTCCGCCCGGCGTGTGAATACATATACATACACACATACATACATACACATATGCAAAGTTTGTATGTGCACTTAATCTCAATATGGCAATATTTTTATACCTCCAGTGGGTATATAAGCCCACATGAGTGACTACATACAATGTGTACGTCGTATGTACTTGTGTGTGTTGTGCCCACTATTTACCAGCCGCCCGTTAAACGGCCATTTGTCCATAGTCTGTTCGTCTATCTGTCTATCTGCACACTGCTGTCGTCATTATATTTAATAACACATACTCGAACAGAGACAAACATACACAATAATATACATGCCTACATATTTGTATGCATACTAAATTTTATTTTTATTATAATTACTGTCTGCGCGATACCTAGAGACGACCAGTTGTTCATTCTCCTCAATTTTTTACTTCATTTATGATTATAAATACTTATACTTGGTATATGCATGTAAAAGCTTCCAAGCAAGCCACCAACACTGTATGATGGACCTTAATAGATAAAGCGATTTGCATGTGAATTTTCCCATTCATGTGAGAATATTAACCTGTAATAGAGATTAGGAGAAATATGTGGATTCAAATGGTCTTTCTTCTTAGGCTTTTAAGTAAAGCAATTACTGAACAGATGGACTACACGTATGTGGATTGAGGTAAATAATTGAGAATGTGATGTCTAGCTAATGGCCCAGTCCTCACACCACATCACGCTCTACGCACCATCTGTTTCTATTGTTTTCTTCAAAATAATATTTCTTCTGTAATAATATTTCTTCTATAAAAGAAGAAAAGAAGAAGCGACTTTACAGCTTTTTTATATCGTTTTTTAATATCATAAAGATATTTTACTCCGAATTGGTTCAATGTCTAGAAAAATTCACTTTTATGTCCATTTTTTTAAGCTTCAAGTTTATATAAATCAAAATCTCGTTTCGATATAAAACTCATCAGTATGATTATATTCGTACTTAATCGGCCATCTCAAAACCACTAATTGTTTTACCGGCACATACACATGCATATTTAGCTGATAATAACGGTTTGTTTATCAACAACTTGACGCGGACTGCTTTGATTGAAATTATATGTTCACGTGTTGACCTGAGAGTACAAACACTCGCTGCAGCACGAGCAGATAAGTAAATACGAGAAGAATGTATAAAGTCACAGACGCCCGAAGGTATACGAGTATGTAAAGAGTTATAGTGCATACCCACGTATATAATATATATTTTATAAATTAAATATGGAAGATAAGCTCGCGTGATATGAGTACTGAGTGCATATATGTACAATAAATACCGATACAGACATATGTAGTATGGAACTGTGGAAGGAAGTTAACCAAAACTAACTGGTAGAAAATTATTTTGTTTAATTACGGTTGCACTCTGGAGTTTCTTAAAGCTTTGCTTAAATTTCAGGATGTATTGTGCACTCTATATCTCTCTGCTTCATTATTATCAATTATCCATTATGTATTCCATGCGGTGAGAATATAAAATTATTCAGTGATAACTGTACAATCAAACATAGATAAAATGCAGCTTGGCACAGTGGTACGTTTGCTCAATTTAGCTGGCCAAAAGTTTGAGCTAGACTAATAAATAAGTAGTGTGCATAGCAGCTCGATAGTTGTAGTGGATGGGGTTAGGTCGTCATACAAATTCCTCTTTTAAGCCTTAAGCCCATTATATGATTGGCGCTTTATAACCGATACAGCGATATTCGCAGAGCTCCCCCTCCAATTTGTTGCACAGTTGTACAGTTTATAATAAGGCGCCTCTGAACGGCCGATGGAAATTTAAAAGAAGGTTTTTTTTCATGTCAGAAATACACTTGGAAGGCCTGACAGTCCCCGCCGAGGGGCTACCAAAATAAGAAAACCTAACTTAAATTTTTACGTAAACTAATTTAATTTTTTTTATATTCTCTTTTTTAATGTTGGTCGGACTACAACTCGAACACTGGTCTTTCGAGTGCCTTCACATAAATACAAGTATGTTTGTATACCTATTTCCTTGCATCTATTTCTCCAACACCAACAAACGCGCAGCATTCAATCACTCAGCGATGCAGACGATTACGTCGACGGTCCATCATTCGCTTGCTTGACGCTTTCGCATTTGTAGCATACCCCAACGGTGTGCGTTGGCTGCTTAACGGTCATGTTGTGGCAATTGAATTGTGCTGCCGAGAAATGAACAGTATGCGCAATTACCCACATACACACAGACTGACTTGCATGAGCTTGCTTCATGTATGTTTGTTTGTTTACCTACGTCATCGATCATTGCGTTTTTAGCGTAAAATATCAATCAATTTCAAAGCCTCGTTGCCAAGGTAAAAACGAGATATATTTACGTGCATACATATGTACATATGTATGTATGCATATATGTGACTTTTCAGTTGTGTTGCTTAGCTCTTGAGCTTCTATCGCTGGAAACCCTTTAAAATACCTGCACAGCGTCAGGAGATGATTTTACTGCAAACGATGTTGAGGCTTTAATTTTTTATTATTGTTATTGTATGCATAGCTCTAGAGAAGCAAAATTTTTCGTAAACAATTTTGTTGTATTTTCATAAAGCTTCAAACCTATATTTATACATATGCAATTACTGGGCATAAACTGTTTTCATGAAATGTTCTTAACCTTAACAACTTTCGAAAACAAAAACATTTTATATAGAAATTATAATTATAGATGTTTAGTTGAACAGTCTCGAGATTCAATTCATCTTGTTCCATTGTAAACTACAAATAAATCTTGAGATCGGTTATCACAAACCCAGTTTTTTTGTTGTCAGAAATAAACTCTTAACACATTCAGAAATGCTTCTTTGCCTTTGGTCATTTCAATTCAAAGTTTACAAATATACATATAATATATCGTACCCACACCGTTATCGCATTGGGCCTTCACGCCGAAGTGCGCCGATCACTCTGATCAGCAACCGCATCGACTCAACTCAACATGTACGTGTATTGCGAACGGTTCTTTTTCTGAAATCCATTAAAACTGAAAATAACTTTGTTTACGCCAAACCATTAACACCATTTCCCTTATTTACACGCTTTAAAGTTAAAAACTCATAAAAATGTCTATTAAATGTAAAATAGTATAAACTAAACAATATTTACATTTGAATCCATGAACGCAACATAGCGTAAATATTGTATAAATAGAAAGAAAATATTAAACAAAAAATGGAAAAATTTGGCACTAAATGGGCAGCGAAAACTTCATTGCAAGTTGTTTAGAACTCAAAGGAAAAAATTCAAATAAAAAAATTAGTATTTGTCCTAAAAACAATGGAAATTTTATATAGTCGCGCGTATTTAAGTTGGAAAAAATTTAAAAATTTATTAAGTAAAAAGCCCAATTTTAGTGCTTGAAGGAGGTGAAGGAGCGTAATCTTTG